AGCCTCAAGTTGTTCACAAAACAGCCTTTGTCATTCCAGATGGCAAGTACGAGTATCTTTGCATGGCCTTCGAGGTCTTTAAAGCACCCCAAACCATGCAAATGGTCATGCGAAGAACCTTCGACGGACTTTCCCGAACAGCAACGTACATCATACCTGCCAACTCTTCCGAATTTTTCGTGAAATGTACAAATTGGGACTAATTTTACGATTTTACAAATCTTGCTTGAAATTTTGCAAAAAAAAACAAAATTATATAAAATTTTTTTTTTTTTTACTTTTTTTTTTTTTTTTTTGCAAAGCCGTTGCTGGCGGTATTTTGCACCGCCACAAGAGGGCGATTGGTACCGTCCACAGCAGCGTCGTGGTTTTTACTATTTGTCTATCCGGTGGCCACGGATCCAAAACCAGCCTTCGTTCGTGTGTTCGGCGGCGCACGTTGGTTCGGCATGTTCAGACGTGTTTGGGCCTCTCTGTTTCGGCCAGTTTCGAGGCGAGCAATGCGGCGTTTGTGTGTGTCTGTTGCACATGTAATTGTAGCATTCCCCTGGTCGCGGTGGCTTTGCAGCGCAATGCCGAACTCCAAACCTCAAAAGAGGTGCTTTCAAGTCTTCCTGAAGCTCTACACTTTGGAATTTCCGTGCTTCGTGCCGACCAAAAAGGGAGAGAAGTTTGGATTCTTTAGCACGTGCACGTGTGATGCAAGCGTTTCGCACGGCGGCGAGGCTGACATTAAGCTTCGCATCGCCCTGCGGGAATTTTACGAATTTGAAAGTCCACAGGTTGACAGGTATGGTACATGGATGACGTTGGCCAGGGCGCAACAACCGTAACCGAGGCTTTCAAGCATTAGACGAAGCCCTACGACGTATCGTTTTTAACAGGCTCCATTGGACATCACGAAGTGCCAGTTCGTCCGAACCAGCGTTCAATTTTTAGAATTGTGATCGCAGCGGAAGGCACCCGGTCCTCAGCGTGCCACTGCAGTTGACAAGTTCCAGCCCAAGAAAGATGCGAAACGTCTTTACTCACTCCATAAAAAGACAACAAAACGAAAGAAAGGCAAACATTGAGCAACTCTGCCGACACAATCCACATGCACCAGCGGCAACAGAGTTCTCCAACGCCTGCGTCGGCCGAGTGCTCTTTTGTGGCGCACATGAAAGCAACAAACGTATCCGATGCCCCCGCTTGTTATAGAGAAAGCTATAGAGCAAGCACCAACATCCAGGATGACATTGCAGATCACCAACAGTCAAAAATGCGCAGACCTCTGGCCTACCTTGCGGATTACTACGCGTTGGTGTGATTTGAGGACAAATCACTTATAAACGGGTCCTTATCACATGAGCGAATGTCGTTTTAGCAAACAGTGACATTTGAGTGAATCAACATTTTAGCAAATAACAGGGGCACGCATTAGCCCACCCCCCTGCGCTATGCTTACGCCGCTTCGCGGTGACAGTCTGCGGCGGCTCGGTACGAAAGTCTGAACCCACTTGGCCCACCCGAAAACGCCGCTTCACAGTGTCCAACTATTCGCTAAAGTGTCATTCAGTGAATGGTGGGCGTTCACTAAAACGTCATTTGATCAAGTGAGTGCCTCCCCTTTTAAACTGGGGCATTTTGGCTAGACCAGCTTGTTTTGTTTAGCCTCAGCCTATGCACCGATTTCACAAGGGATATGTAATGTATGTCCACAACGCATGACACGCTTTGCGAGCCCGCAAGGATGAAGTTGGAATTTAACCCCCTTTCACAGTCCGTGGGAAAGCGCACATTCGCAATTTGGATAACTGAACTGAACCTTGCCCAGAGCGCCTGCCAGGGAAGAAGAGATGGTCTTGTTGGCAAAATGACCCAATGCACGCCTTGCAACTAACGTATGCGAAAACCTCTTTATGTAACTAAAGTTAACCCAGTCAAATAAACATCATTTCAATTTCTTCACTAGCCAACGTTGTATTTCTCATTAACGAAACGTTGGCACCCAGCCTCTGCCGACTCTTGTATCCCATAAATGCTTGCAGAGCATCGAAGACAGATTCATCAATGTCTGCACTCGTTGAGAGGGCCACAGCACGTGGAACACGGGCTGGAAAATGTGGTCGCGTGGTGTGGCTTGGGCCAGAAGCGCAGCTTTCACTTTAAAATGTGACACGGCATGGTGTCATCTTCACAGAGGACTCTATGGGCATCTATTTGAGTTGATGCGCTTAAGTCGCATTCGTGTAAATGCAGCTTCTGACTCTAGTCTGCCTGGGCAGAGGCAGACCAGTGAGCAGAAGACTGAAGACAGCATGAATGCTTGCATTGCAGCAATCTGTGATTCTGTGTGCTTTTGCTTTCACCTAGAGAGTTTTCGCTGTCTTAGAGTTCAAAGCAAGAATGCCTTATTATTTTCTTTAGTCATAAATAGGGTAACGTACGAAGGCTTCTCCAGCCTGCATCCTGTGCGAGCTCCCTATTTTTTTGTAAAGCTTAGGCATCCCGTGAGGCTCGAGCATTTGCACGTTGCCAACCGGAAATAGTGCCAATAAGGCAAAGCACAAATGTTGCCAGTTATATTCATTATCACAAGTAGGTGATCAGTGACACGTAAAGTGTTTCTCCCAAGCTGGCAAATTCGTCGTTGTGCCATTAAGAATACATCCTCATGATAACAAACTGGACAAAACACATTATCGTCTTCGTTATACAGGTCATTTCACTCCCGTTGGATTTGTCGCAGAGGCATTTGACTGTGATTTCGGAAGATGTAGAAATAGCTGCGCAATTATCACTGTGATGTCTTCTACCAAATTAGCCGTTTCGTAACTTGGATGTTTGGCTTAAGATATAGAGGCTTTATTATTTTGACATCCCTCAACAAAATAATAAATACACTATTTGCTTCAGCATTTTACCCTCAATTTTATGGATACAGCAATACAGGCCTTGTTTGGTGTGGCATACTTGCCAGTGATGTTATGGGCAGTGAGCTTTTGGTGCAGTAACTTCATGATGTGAAGAGCCATGACTTTTAGATGGAGTCCTTTGTGACCTCAGTGCAAACAATTTTAATGAGCTTCAGATTTGTTGACTTCAAGGTTGAGTAAATGAGTCCAAAGAGGCTTCAAATGGCATCCTATTGTGCATACACATCGAGGATAGTTTCTTTGAACGCCACATTTTCCAGAGCTGTATAGACATTAATTTAATATTATAGCATATTTTTGCGAGTTGAACAAAGTCATCAAGCAGATGGTTTGGTTAGTATAATGGAGGCTACGATTTGGTTCTGCCGCACTTCACCCTTGTGGCCGAAGCTTCGTCATTGATTAGAAGACTGCTTTATGTGGCCAAGGTGCTGCAGAAAGGGAGGAGGAAGCAATGCATAAAGGGATGGTGAACCGAACTTTGGATTTCAGAAAACAATGCTGGAGCTGTAGACAGGATGCTACAATCCCTACAACCCTACTTGTAAGCAGATATCTCGAAGTGACGGCCGTATATTTGGAAAAAAAGGTCGAGATTGAACGAGGCTGACAAGGCGCGTGACGTCAAGATATCTTGTTTCCTCCTCTCTTCGTTTCGCCCCCCCCCCCAAGGCGCCGAGGCGGAGAAGACGCGAGGCCGTTCTTTGTCCTTCTCGGAGAAACAAGACGTAAACATATCTGTCAAAAGCCTCTTCTTTCTTTTTTTTTAAATACAGTCGTCCGTTTGATGTATTGTTGTATGAGTGCTGTTTTGATGTTTGTAGCATCCTGTGGCACGCTTTTGCCGCCGTGCTTTGTGGAATCCAGATTTCGGTTCAGCATCCCTTTAAGGACCAATTGCTGACAATGGTTATAGCTGCACAGCATTTCAAGCAGCTTTATAAATTTGCTTTTGTTATTTTTTTTATATACACATTTAAACACAATGATGCAAGAAGCTCTAGGACACATGAGGCAACTTCCATGTAATAATGGGAGATGATGCTTCTTAGGTTAAGAATATGTATGGATATTTCCTTTTTGTATTCTTCAAATGTTATAAAATCAAGGGTTGAGCACTTACAGTTGCACAGGCAGGTGCTTGGTATTTTATGGTGCTACAGTCGCCGACTGATTTTTCGGGCTTCGTGGTGGCTGAAAAAGCGTTTGAATAATAAAGCAGTCCGAAAAATCTGCAAATAACACTTGCCTTTATTGAGCCTAAGCAGGCTTCAACTAGTCGCTAAGAGTACCTTGTGTCATGTTATGTTTGCAGGCGATCGCGCCCACTCGCATTTGCGTCAACGTCATGTCCTCACCCAGCAGAGGCGCAAAAAGAGGCAATGAGGTCCAAAGCACTTATCGACACGGGGCAAAATGACGAAATCGCGAGACATTTAGGTGCGAAGTTTAGAAGCTGTTACAGCGCATTTCACACTTCACGGATGGCGGCTGGCACGAAAACAGAACAAAATTTTGGTTGGAGATGGGAAATCGACCAAACAAAGAAACCAACACGATGATGATGCATAGAAAAAACAAAATGCGTAGCATAGCATGCCTAGCGGCTGGTTCGGCAGCACTAAAATAGTGCTGCCAAACCTATCGAATCCATCTGAATCATCAAGCCAAGCCTGCAGTCAAGCCAGCGAAAAATCCAAGATGGCAGTCTCTTGGCGGCTTCCACTCGTAGCTATTTTAGTCTGAAAAATCAAACTTTTGGACCACAAACTGTCCGAAAAATTGGTTTTTAATATGTACTGTTTCGTTTGGATAAGTCACGGTTCCTCGTCAATCTCCGAAATAATCGGCAAGTCCGAAATTTCAGCGTCCGTAAAATTGGTCGGGAACAGTACTAAAAGTAAGAACTGGAAGAACAACGTGCCTTGCACTGTTTTTACCTCAGCCATGCACCAACTGGCCCAACTTCATGCCTCGTTTCACCTGGCTGCCCTGTTTTGCCCTGTTCTTTTTTTTTTGCATTTGAGTGTACAGTGAATAGTGCATGTCCTAATTAGGTCCTCCTCTTGTCTGTTTTCTCAGGGGATGCTGGATTGGACAACGGTATCCTCCAAGCATGCGCGGAATGCCTTCACAACCGTCATCTATGTGGCTAAAACCAACGAAGGAGCAAGCTACATCAGTAGGTTGGAGTGACAACATTTTGCCCAGGGAGTGATGTGCCATGTATTCCTCAGAGTGAAGGACACTTGGAGGCAGAGATAGCTTTTTGGTCATGAACAAAAATGCCAAGTGACGTTTGAAAGACTTGCCGCGGTCATCGTTCCGGTTGCCCGTAAATTCAGCTTCATGTCGACGCACTCGTGCATCAAAAGGGAAGGGTCTTGTGCGCACTTTCGACACGTTTGGGAGGCTCTGGTCTCCGTGAGTCATCATTGTAAACTTGGCACTTCTTTGCTGTTTTTTTTTTGTGTGTTAGAGTATGTTTTGAGGCATGAAACATATCGGAGCCTGGAAGTGCACGTTTCTTCTCAACATTTCAATTTCATATCTTAGTGTACTCAAGTGCTCAGCCAGGAATTTTGTTTGATGTGGCTCTTGTGTGGCCCTTGTAATGTGTAAGGCTTGTTTGTCTTGCTTGTTATAATGAAAAGGTTTCTTGCTTGTCATGTATTATTGACCTTTCAGGAAAATGCTCCTGATAACATAACAGTCAACTGAGGTGTACCTTTGTATGTATTGTAAGCTGGTTTCATTCGCAGAACTTTCTGAGGTTGCTGCATCCTAACTGAGTGTTGATGTGATAGGCTGAGCGTGATATTATAAAAGCTCCCAAGTTTTTTTTTTTAGTACATGCATTCAGCATTAATTTCTAAAGTATGAAAATATCAGCATGAACTTAATATTTAGCTGTTTCATCGTGTTTTGAAAGTGTAAAGCTCCATAACAGTTGTAAGCAGGGAATGTTGACTGTTGGTTAAATGGCTTGTTGAAACCATATTTGTCTAGCTTTATTTCCCTCATCATGTGAAAGGAAGGCAAGTTGAATGGTTTCTTGGACATCGACCTTTGCACATCACCATTGTCATAGTCATCTGTATCTCATTATATGTCAACAACCGTTTACCTTTTTGAAATTTGGAAATATTTACAGTGGAGGAAGTTGCTCTGTATCGGGATCCAATGGCAGTTTACCTATAAATTAGGGAGAGGGAGCTTCAAAAGAAACATTTAATTCTGCACTGATCAACACTGGTTTGAATATATTGGACACATGGCCCGAATTGCATCACTTTACACACACTCCACCAGTGATTCAAGATTTTGTCATCTAAGCAATTTCGTAGAGCATTTGGGCCAGAAATTGATCTCCTTGTATGCATTACCACAAGAACCCAAATGTTGTGGCTGCCTTATATAAGAGTACACTAGGCAAATTCCCAGGAGTACCACAGGGTGGTGGTATACACTTCCCATGGAGACTTAGCTGAGGGATCCAGTACACAGTGTTTTGAACTCTTTTAGTGATTCCTTCTGTGGCAGTTCCTGACTGTCGCTTTTTTTTCTTGTTTCAGACAAAAAGGGCAGTTTGTGAGGGCCCCTGAAGGGGCAGATTTTGTGTAAGGCATTTACAGATTACCTTTTTTTTATCTCCTCATTTTTTCATAATTTGTCGATGACATTTGAGGAGGCATTGCACACAAATTTTGGCTGTTTTGCTTCCCATCAGACCTGACAGACCTGGTATGTCTTTTTTTTTTTTTTACTTTAAGTTTGAGATTTTGAAGTGTGGATGCTAAAGACAACATTGTTCATGGCTTGGGTCTCTTGAAGGCATCTCGGCTTGTTTGGGTCATTGCTTGCCAACTTGGCATCTATGTACTCTACTACCTTAGTTGCACAAATTAATTAGGCGTAGTGGTACAGCAAAATGCATGCCACACAGCGCACGAAGGCAGATATCAATACTGTTTCAGGTTGTATGTCTACAATATAAGGGCATTTCTTCCTGCCATGTCACCATTGAAATTGCTTTATGCTGGTGCCTTCAATCTCAGATTGGGAATTCCCGGACTGTGCCCTACCTAGGTGTCCTTGGACGTGTTGGGCTCCACTTGCAGTCACAGTCGTGACACAATCACTCAAACTTAGTACTATATGCTCTCGGTGCATATGGTTATCATTTTACTAGAAGAGTGAAACCTGTCCAAGCAGCTCATACATATATCTGCTGGGACACAAAGCAAATATCTAAGTCAACCCATGTTCCTGTTGCAGATGATTGTGTTTCAATGTTTAAGTGTGACTCCATTACAAAAAGCTATTGTAGATATGTGAAAAGCCTGCGGTTGGAAGTTGTGTTCAGTCACTTTTTTTTAGCAGAATGCTTTGATTTGCACTGCAGGAAGGATGGAATTCGAAATTGTTTTAATTTTGACAACTTGTCTAATGACTTCTGTGGACACATGCACTGATGTAAACTTCAGAGATAAATCTAGCTGCTTCAGGATTAAGGCTGGTGAAGTGGTGCTAACTTCAACCTAGCTCTTCAGGGTGTTATGATACCCTGTTGTGTGTTTTTTGCACACCCTTTATTTAATAAGAAAACACTACCAAAACTTGGGAGCTCCCATGCCAGTGTGAGAATGAGCTAATGCAAGCTCCAAGTGAATTGTCAACTATGGTTCTAAATGAGTGATAAAAAATTTATTGGGTCGAGGAGTCGAGGATTCACCTCTGCTTCATGTACCAGACACAGATGAACATAGAAGTTGTTTCCCAATTATATCTTTGTAGCAGGGCATTCACATTACAAGCTCAAAAACTTGGTTTCTCAGTGCTGTATATGTGCTTTGCATTTTGATACAACCAGGCATAAGGCAGCACATTCATCAATGTTCACTTATTTCTTTTGACACCATTATTCACTTTGACCACATGAAAAACCTTCAACTGTTAGCTGTTAATTGTTTTTTTCTCCACTTTATTCCACAGTAAAGTCAGTAACGGTGTTGGAGGCCATGTCCAGGCTCCCACAGACTTTCATTATTTGCAGCACATACGTATGTTATGTCATCGGAGCTCTTGAGTTGATTTATCAAGCGTAACCGGAATATTTCGTTCGAACTCCAGTCAGAATGTCATACTTGTACCACAGCTTGGTACATAGTAGGTGTCTTGTTTGCATTCTAGCTTTTAATCTTTCAGGTTTCAGTTTGAGTGGTACACATCCTGTGAATGGTAGCTATAGAATGTACCGATTTGCTCTCACTGAATACTATACAAGAAAAATCTGTACTTAACCAATAGCTCTAGGACTAGTTATTGGTGTTCCGGCAGTGATCAATTTTGCAGAGAAATAGCAGACCCTTCTTGCTGTGTAAATTTTCTTTCTTCTCCGATGATGAAGGCTGGCAGCACCTTGTTAACCATACTTTGCTCGAAGTGGACGTGCCGGTTTTATTTGTCTCAATCTTTTGCACCTAAAGATCTGCGGTTCACATTTGGGTGCAAACTTGAATTAGAGTCAGTGTCCTGGTAATTATATTGGGGCAGAGCCATGCCTGGGTGAGTGTTCTTGCATTGTATGATCTTGGTGCTTTTTTTCTTTGTGCTGTCTTTGATTTCATGCTTTTTGTGTAGCTCTGATGCTACGCACAAAATAAATAAAATGATAGAAAACAAACCAGTCTATCAGTGATTTAAGACGTTAGTGCCACTATATTCTGGGATTCCCAAGGCGAGCAGTGAAAGCTTTTGTACTGTACTTAGGGACTTTATTCGTTACCTCCAGCAACATGGTCTTGTGGCAGTTGTGTTTTGTTTTGTTTTTACTCGCACCAAGATGCATTTGTGATGAAGACAGGCGCCTCTCACATTTCAGTTTTGGCACAGCCTAGTGTCCGCAGAGGAAACGAACTATTTTTCGCACCGCAAAGGTAAACAGGATTGCCGAAAACTCGGATTTTGCCAGAGTAGCACAGGAGGTTGGGTTACGACGCCAACTTCGATTACATTAGAGAGGACGTCGACGGGCAGCATGAAGGGCGACAGGAAACAAGGTGCATGGAATGGAGCGCTTACTAGAAAAGACTCGAGTATCGTAGAAGTCTGGGCGAGGTGATGCATTAAAACGAGCAAACAACGCAAAATGGGGGGGGGGGGGGGGGGGGGGGGGGGGGGGGGGGGGGGGCGGGCCAGGGGAAGACAGTTTTTCCTCTCTCTTCCTCTGCTTCGTCGTCATTTTGCGCTGTTTTCTAGTTTCATTAATAATGCTACTTATTGCCACGCGCGTCGCCGAGTGAGCGCGTGCGTGGCGACTCTCTTATTTATTCTTTCAACTTGACGTTCTCATAAGTTCGAGAACCTTGTTGTCTGATCGAGTTAGGAATGTTCTATGCGCCAAACATTCTGCGCTGAATGTCCCAGAAACCAACGCTGGTACAAAAGATGCTTCGCGTGGCGACACGGAGCCAGTCTTGCCCCAGCGTTCGATCCTGCTGTTTCGCTGATACCACCTTAAAATCAAAGGACTCGACGCTCGTGTCCGCATATGTCTTAGGGGCTTCCTAACGTTGGGACACCCCATTTTGAAACTTCCAATCAAAGTTAAGCGTCAACGAAGGCACGTGCCGCGTGCTATTCGTTTTTAAGTTTTTGCTTCGTAACAGCTACTGCCGCAGACACCTGCACGTGCAGCGAGCAGAACGCATTACTGAGCTCGCGCACGTGGCACGAGCTCTGAACGCTCAGTCAGTGCAGCCTTCGAACGCCGATAGTTTGGTTTCACGGAAGATCCCCGCAAGAAAGAACACTGACACATTTCCCTTCCAAGCTTCACGCGAAGGTAAATCTATCCTGTATCCTCTCGTGAGACTGCAGCGTTACGCTCTATCTAATCCCGCTATTTGAGCGCACAATCGACTCTGCATGCCGATAGAACAAAAGCAGTTCTTAGGCGATCCGAGTAACCATCGGCAAGCGGGAATGCTCGTTGACGAACTTCCTTTGTCGCTGGGTTGTGACGCTCAAGCGTAGATTGCTGGTGAGGTGTGTTTGGCGTTGGATGTCTGATCGTCTACTAGGGGGCCATCGGGTGTTTGAGGTTAGGTTACGAGTCCGGAGGGAAAGGTTTTCATCCCAACATTAAAAGTTGGGTGCCGAGTCTTAAGACCCATTCACACAGTAACCGTTTAACTGCGTTATGAGGACATACGTCGAGTTACGACCATAGGTCACCGGAACATCAGCGTTCCGAATGAAGTCCCGTTTCTTTCTGCCAGGGAGACAGAATGAGAAAGGCGTCTTCTTTAGACGCAGGCCTGCTGGACGCGTTCGTTGCACTCCGCCGTGCTTTAGCTGCGCGTGCACTTTCGAAGCTCACGAGACGCTTGATCGCACAGAAGGTACAACTGAAAGACCTCCGCGCCATTCGTATCATGTCGCTACAACGTTTACTAAAATCGTAGCCCGATTTTCGAATCCAACGGCCTAGCGCCTGCATGTTCGTCGCTTCCAAAAACGGACAGAAGCCGAAATTTTAGAATGTATTCCAGAAAGGGGCTGCGTTCGTACGTATGGTGTTTGTGTGTTTTATTCGCTTTTCGAAGCGACGAACACGGGCGTGCCGCGTTCTAATTTTCCCACGCGACGGCTGTGATTTTGTAAACGTTGGAACGAACGCGAGTGTATTCACCGACGAATCTCGTCCACTAGATCGTTGTTAGGGGCTGTGGCGCGTGCCGAAGGCGAGCAGTCCAAGGACTCGCATGACACCATCAAATGTGTGTGTTTCATCGGGATGACATCAAACAAGAAAACGGAGAATTAATGTCGTGCGAATAGCTGTATACAAAACGTTTTTCTTTTTCTAAAAGTACCTGAATAAAAAAAAAAAAAATATGGTACTTGCGTTAAGGTTTTGTCAGCCTTGAAGCTAAGTTGGGGCCATGGGAGCCACTTAGTTAGCTAACGAATTAATCAAAATTACCGGCTTTGAATTCATAGTTTTGAATGCATAATGTAGTTGGAGGATTGATGCTCGACATCCTTATGGGGTCCACTCTCTTGACGAAAATAATCCCTGGAGAAGGGGAACAAGAGGGACAAAGGACAAACACAAATCTCCAAACACAGCTAGGTGACTGGTGCGCGACCGAAAAAATCCGCCTGGGACGGGTATCGAACCCGGGACCCCTCTATTACAGGTTTTCGGTCGCACACCAGTCACCTAGCTGTGTTAGGAGATTTGTGTTTGTCCTTTGTCCCTCTTGTTCCCCTTCTCCAGGGATTATTTTCGTCATTCTTGTCCAGCTCGCTTGCAACCTTTGCATTATAATCCACTCCCTTCATCCCAGGATGATCCATACCGAGACACTTCACCCCAGACACTTTAGCCCAAAGTCGTTTCATTCCAAGACGTTTCATCCCAAGGCGTCTTATCCCATAGTCATTACTTGCCTGGATGGTTCATACTTTGGATTGCCTCTGCCAAACTTCATACCAGGATACTTCATTCCAGGGCAGTTAATCCCATACACTTCATTGCAAGACATTTCTTATCAGGACGTTCTATGCCACTGTCAGTGGCATCTAATACCCAGACATTTCATACCAGAATAATTTGGTGCACCCACGAGTTGCTAAGCTCGTGCAAGGAAAGATAATTCGCATCAGGATACTTCACTCCAGGGCAGTTAATCCCAGACATTTCATACGAAAGTCATTTCACCCCGAAACATTTTTTACCGAGTCGTTTTGTGCCAGTGGCATCTAATACCCCGACATTTCTTATCAGATTAATTTGGTACACCCCCGAGTTACTGAGCTATATGCAAGGAGAGATATTCCAGCTTGTTCTTTGCGGACCAACACAGCCGTCACGTCAGGCACGTAGCCCGGGGAGGGGCGGGGGGGAAGAGGCCGGATTACCCCGTAATCCTTAGTTTTTCTGGGACCTCCTCACCCCCTCCCTCATGTATGACGTTTTCCCATGCCCCCCTCCCCCCCCCCCCCCCCCACACACACACATACACACACGCACGCTCCAGAAATAAAATCCTGGCCACGTGCCTACGTCACGTTCATTTAAAACAGGCGAATTTCACAAGTTGTACCGCGGAACCGGAAGCGGTCAGGTGCCAGCCACGTAACACATCCCGTGCTAAAACAAAAAAAAAAAAAAAGACGTCTTGCTATCCAATACGGGCCCATAGTAAACCACGATATTAAGCCCTTTTGTTTAATTTAACATCATTTTGGGTTCTGCATCGCAGTGACCACTGACGGCTCGGTATCGGATTAGCGAAAGTCGGGTTATTCGACTTAGAGTCATTAATTTCCCTCTTTATATCCCCCTTTCCCTCTTTATATATCTTTATACCTCCATTTTTATTTCCCTATTTATATCTCACCTCTCGTTCTTCGAACACAATTTAGAGTGCTGCTTCAAAGTGTCAAGACCCGTTCACACTCTTGCAACCGAGTACGACCGAGAGAGACCAGACCGGTTTTTAAGCCTCTTGCGATCTCTTAGCACCAGCCCCGCTGCAGCGCATCTGGCCCTAAGAAAACCGGTCTGGTCTCTTTCGGTCGTACTCGGTTGCAAGGGTGTAAACGAGCCTTTAAGGCCCGTTCACACTCTTGCAACCGAGTGCGACCGAGAGAGACCAAACCGGTTTTTAAGCCTCTTGCGATCTCTTAGGACCAGCTCCGCTCAGTGCATCCGGTCCCAAGAAGTCTTTCTCGGTCGTACTCGGTTGCAAGAGTGTGAACGCGCCTTAATAGTTCGATTTACTTAAGGCCCGTTCACACTCTTGCAACCGAGTGCGACCGAGAGAGACCAAACCGGTTTTTAAGCCTCTTGCGATCTCTTAGGACCAGCTCCGCTCAGTGCATCCGGTCCCAAGAAGTCTTTCTCGGTCGTACTCGGTTGCAAGAGTGTGAACGCGCCTTTATTCTCAAAGCTTCAAACCACAAAGAACCACAAAAATTGCAGTGGCTGAGCTCGGCTATGCCTGGATATACGTAGCGTGAGCTTATGCGCACAAAATGAGAGGCGCTATCAAGCGGCTCCGGTGCAGCGTCAGACTTGGCTACTGCGCAACGGAGGCGCACAGCTGGGCTCGCGGCGGCGCCAGTGCGTCTGCCGCAGCTTTGACGTCACTCCTCTGGAATGCGCAGACCAGCGAGGCGGGCGCGGCGGCGGTGGCTCCCGCACACCAGCTGTGCGCCGTGTGACGTCACTGCTCCGGCACGGAGCACAGCTCATTATGCGAGCCACGCGAAACTGCTCAACCTTGGCCAGTGTAGCTCACGCTACTATATCGGGAATTGATGTCACGTGAGACCTTTCCGAAATCTATCGTGCCAAGACAACATTCACCAGAAATGTCAAAAATTGAAATGTTTATTTTGCAATTACCCACGCGTCAACGAAAAAAAAAAATTTTAACAAGCTTTTACAGCACTTCATTTCAGGCTAATAAACTCTTCAGAACACACAAGTAGGGATAATACTGTCGAGTTGATATCAAGTCTTGCACCAAGAGAGAAGCCAACGGGGTGGTTTTCAACTTAGGGTTTTAATCAGACCGCTAGCCAGAGTGCGAGCCAGAGCGCACTGCGGCCACGGGCCATCCCGCTCTTCCTCCTCTTCTCAGTCTCACTACGCCCCCCCCCCCCCCG